AAAAACAATAATTTATATGGTATTTCTTTGAAGGCTTTATGAATCAACGGGCAAGATAAAGTATATAGACTACCTTTTTCAGTATAACCTCTTCTGTGCACATCTCATTTTCAAATATACAGGCATCCCCGTACTCCAAAATTTCTGGTGAACTTCACCCCACGATAGACTAGACACCTACCAGTGAATAAACAGTTTTTCTGCTGTCTCCATTACTGCTTTACAGATGATAATACCGCAAAGAATCCAAAATCCCACTTATTTGGTTCAGTATGATCAAATTTTCATTTTCAAATATACAGGCATCCCTGTACTCCAAAAGTTCTGGTGAACTTCACCCCACGATAGACTAGACACCTAGCAGTGAATAAACAGTTTTTCTGCTGTCTCCATTACTGCTTTACAGATGACAATACCGCAAAGAATCCAAAATCCCACTTATTTGGTTCAGTATGATCAATTTTCTTGGAAAAAGTTTTAGAGGTAAAGGATCAGGAACTGCCCCATACCCAAAATTCTGCTATCACCCTGCTTTGTGCAAGGCTTCTACCCTTCAAAAATAGTTCACTCCATATCGCCAACAATGACAATGTGAATAAGACGTTTCAATATGGTTAACCTTTAAATCAAACCCAACCGATATCCATGGCTACTAACGTCCACCTACTCCCTGGTTCTGTCCAAAATGTCAAAGCTTCCCCAGTTTGCACTTTGCAGTGAAGGAGACAAAAAATATATCCTATATCCTGCATGCACATGGTACAAACGTGGGAGGAAGGGAATGCAGTTCTCAAGGACAATTGTATGCCTTTTTTTGAGAGGACAAATGTATTTCTTGATTTTTACATAATCTCTAAGAAAAATACAACTCCCTCCCTAACCTCCACACACATGCACATACACATAAAATGGGAAAGTACTAGATGATGGCAATGGGATATGAATGATAGACTGGAAAGAAGAATTTGGTGGAAAGCACCAAAATGACACAAAATATACACTGATAAAGATCCAAACAGGAGATACAGACCTCTATGAGGGAATCAAAGAGAGTGGCAATTTCCTCATTCCATAGCCCTCTAAAGGTTCTAAACTTCTAATCAAGTTATGATCCCAAGATAAACTTTGGTCTCCCATGGAAAAAATGTCACCATAAACCACAGCCTCTTTAAAAATGTGGGAAAGTATCAGAATAGCAGACAAAGAATTATTGTCCCACAAAAGGTAGGTCCAAAATTTTATGAAGTAACAAGTGACTATAAACGGGAAGATTGTTACTGTGTGCATGAGGAATTATAGAAGGGCCCCTGGATTTTGCAGCAATCCACTAGAGGCTACAGCTTTGGTGACCTGGGTGAAGACCTTGTTTAGATGGATCCCAAAAGTCGGAAATATGATGACAGACAGTTACCCAGTGGTTAGGCTCAAAGGATTAGGTGGTATCACCATTATTTGCATTGCTCTTGTTTTGAGTGGTATTTCTCTATGACAACAATTAGCTTCTTTGATGGTCAGGAATATATAACTCTGTTGTAATTTTCTTCTTATTTCATTCATGCATTCTTTTGGTCCCCTGAACAATCAGAAAAAGAAAGAATTACTTGGACATTGAATGATGGAATGGTAGATCCCACTTCTTTTTCTTCATACCATTACATTTAAGTGAGAGTCTCATTTCTCCCATATCTATAAGTTTCTCAGTTTCATATGTCTCTTAACTCCTAGAAGAATGGTATATTGTAACAGGATTTACTAGAAACTTTGAAAGCACCAAAAAGGTAACTTTCTTCAAAAACTAAAAGTAAAAGCATTGTATCAGCATACAAGACTTAGATGCTCATATCCATATGTATTCTAGATTTTGAGATTTGGATAGCTGCATTTAAGCTTCCTATGTCAACGCCCATCCACATCCATATTCCATACATCCTGTGTCCTGTTCATATTGCCTGTCTAACTTTCCAAGTTTGTTGAAAACAATACTACAAGGTATTGTTCAGGGCTCTGCTAGAACCCCAGGTCATCTGGAAAGTAAAAAAAGAAGAAAAATGGTATTCTGCCAAAAGTAATAAGAGGGAGAATCACCTTAATAAGAGATACTTTGGCTAATTTACCTACTTACTTTCTGTCTGTTTTTAGGATACTAGCTAGGAAAGCTAGGAAGCTGGAGAAGTTGATGAGAGACTTCCTGTGGGAGCCAGGACAAGAAAAAAGATCATTTGGTTAAATGGGAAATTGTTTGCAGAAGTAAAGAAGATAGGGGTTTGGAACTTGGGAGGGTGATTGAAAAAAATCAAGCGCTGTTATAGAAATGGTTGTGGTGATGGCCATTGGAAAGTGAGAGGCTGTGGCATGAAGTGGTGGGAAGCATTCATGGGAGTTCAGAGAATGGATGGGATGGCTGGTGTATCAAGGCAGGCTAACCTAGCAACACCTTGGAAGGGCCATTCACAACACCCTTCCTCAATTTCTCAATTTTATCAGGTATGAAGTTTGTTTTGGCAATGTTGTTCACTTTTGAGAGGATATTTGGGTAGGAGACACCCCTTTAAAGGACCTTTTCCCTTTGTTATTTTTTGTTTCTTTGTATAAGAGGTGGTCTCAAAATTTGTCTCACCATTGGGAATACCCTTGGCTCCTAATTGGGATTTTGGGTTTCATAGGGGACTAAGGGATGATGAAATTGAATCTCTCTCTGACTTGCTATGTTGCCTTAATCAGGTTTGCTTGGATCCCTCCAAGCCAGATAAAAGGGTGTGTGCTCCTAGACCCAAAGGAACCTTTACTTGTGCTTCTTAAGTTCTTATTTGTCCATCTCTCAGCCTTCTGCTCAACAACCCTTTCTGTCAAAGGAAATTTGGTGTAGGCCAGTTCCCCCAAAGATTATGGCATTCTGTTGGGAAGTATTCTATGGGAAAGTAAACACTCTAGATAACCTACAAAAGAGAAGACCTTTCCTCTGTATTTCTCCCAATTGGTGTATCCTCTACAGAGCTCATGGGGAGAATTGTTACCATCTACTAATACCTTGTCCTTTTTTCTGCAGACCTTTGGGCTTGGCTACTTTCGTTGTTTGGGTGTAGTTGGAGCCTACCAGCAAAAGTTCACATGATCTTTAACCATTCTACTTTCTCTTGACCTACAAAAAGAGGGAGACTTATGTGGAGATGTGCTCGTGCTACCCTGATTTGGACTCTTTGCGAAGAAAGGAATGCTAGAATTTTTCAAGATAAGGAAAGGAGTAGTTGGGAATTGAAAGACTATGTGTTGCATAAGGCAATACTTTGGCTGAAGATTTTGGAAATCTTTCATCAATTCTCTTTTAATGACCTTTGGAGAAATTGGTTAGCAATAGCAAGGTGTTCACCCTTAAAGGACAAGTTAATTACAAGCTGGTCTCCTCCATCTGAAGTCTCACTAAAGTTGAACTTTGATGGGAGTAGCATGGGTAATCTAGGATTATGAAATGGGGGGTGTTTGAGAAATGAGAAGGGAGAGATTGTGTTGCTCTACTCGGGTCCTTTAGGAGTTGGAGACTCTATCAGGGCAGAGCTATTAGCTGCTGTACAAGGGGTGCAATTTGCAAACCAGCTGGGGGTACAGCATCTAATAAATAATAATTGAAGGGAATTCCAAGGTGGTGGTGGGCTGGTTGAAAAATCCTGAAGATGCTATATGGTGCTACAAGAACGGCATAAAGAAATTCAGTTGGTTGACAAGGAATATGTTGGTCTCTTTACAGTGGGTGCGGAGATCAACAAATACTTTGTCCAATGTGTTAGCCAAGCAAGGGGTAAATAGGGAAGAATTGTTTTGGGGTCAGCTGTGATTCCTGAATTTCTTTCCTAGTTTACTTGTAAGATTCAAGGAGGGGCTGCAGCTCGCGCCTCTCCCTGGGATGTTGTATGAATTCACAACTCTAAATCAGTTTTTGAATTAATAAAATTTACTATTACTCATCAAAAAAGAAATTCTCCATCACAATTGTCAAGGCGACAAGGCGCCCTTTGAGGCTCGCCTCGCCTCGCCCAATYGCCTAACAGTTTTCTACTTCCTACTATAAAATACTTTTTATTCATTCTTTTTTGAGATTATAATTATAAAATAGACATTATTAAACTAAATAATCAGTTTGTGTGTTTATATACTAATTTCTTTTTATTATTTTCTTATTTATTAGGGTTTAATCAACACAAACATTGCTAAATGCTGTATTGAACCCTCAAAGACTAAAAAACCTGAACCAATAAG